CCACCTGAACCTCGTTGTAAGTAGAGTACGCGTGCGTGTATGTGTGCCAACTAAGGTCCGGACGATAGTACGCGCAAGAGAAAGAAAGGATGAGGATGAAGAGACATGAAGACAGAAAGACATGAAAGAAAAGAAGGAAAAGCGTCTGTGGGGGCACATGAAAGGGAAACCAAATGAACGGGGACAAACCGATGACAGTCCAAACCTCATTAAAAAACCTGTTGCAGAAGCCTAGTTTGCTTGTAAACATGCCGCGCGTGAGGAAAGAGGGGGGAGGGGGAGGAAGAAAAGAGAGGGAAAGAAAGAAGGAAACAAAGGTGCTCCCAGCTACGACGCAAGCGTCCAAGGACACACCAAAAAGGAAGGGCTCCCAGCTATGACGAAAGCATCCAGGGACACCCAAGGAAGAAGGAAGGTGAAGAGAGGAAAGAAAGAAGGAAAGAAAGAGAGAGGGAGAGAAAGGGAGAGGAGAGAAAAGGAAAAAGGCAGGTGTTCCCAGCTACGAAGAAGCGTCCAGGGACACACCAAAGAAAGAGAGGGGTGAAGTTCTCCACAGGTTCCAACAATCCTCAAACGTACTTTGACCGCTGTGGTCACCTTGTGCCCTGCCAAAGTGCTTTGACCGCTGCGGTCACGTAAAGGCATGAGCCAGCTTGGAATTCTCAATTTAGACAAAAGTCTGAGTTCTCTCGGCCTAGGCCACCTACGCTCGCTGCGAGCTACTCTGTATCCGGGCAGGGGATACAATCGACAAACCCCCGTTCGACGGGTCCACGGGAGGCACTCTACGGGCTCATCCCGGACTCTCACTAGGAGAGACACACTTATCGATATGCGTACTGACTTGACAGCGGTGCCACACGCCAGCCTAAGAAACCCAAATCCTGAAAGGTCCAGGAAAGTCCTAAAGAGCCTGGGGTTCTTCAAAAGGAAATGTGGCCGAAAGCGCAAGCCGGAGTCGGAGCGACAGGATGACGACGGTCCGTGCAAGTCTGCGGAACGCACTAGCACTTTATTGGAAGATGATGGTAACAGCTTGTAAACATCACAACCAAGCAGGTACGTGATCCCAGCGTCCCAGGATCATATCAGCCATGGAATGCAGCCCTCTTCGTTGGACAACCAACTGCATCCATGGGGTTGTCCCCCTGCTCTAAACCCAAAGGTTCCCTGTGATTCCAAGGGTTACACACACACGCACACGCACCTCCCACAAGGGCAGACTGATGTGCAAATGTGCGCGCAAAAAGGGCAAAACGACGAAGATGTGAGAAGAAGACAAGACGAGACAAGCGTGTGTAGTTGCGATGAAAGGGAAACCAAGTGCACAGGGACGGCCGATGAGCCAAACCTCCTTATCAAGACCCGGGTACCAAGCCTATTTTGACATGTGTGTGCCGTATGTGCGTCTAAGGCTGCACTTGATCCCAACGGACCCAAAAGATCTGCGACCGCTGTGGTCTACTCGGGCCTTGCCAAACTACTCAAGTCCGCTGTGGACGCATTCTGGCTTGCCCACAGCTACCTACTCAGATTCAATAGTCCGTCCGTCAAGTCTTGGCAAATAACTTTGGCGGCTTAAACCTCCTGCTGTCCGCTACGGACGGGGAACGTGGACAAACCCCCGTTCGACGGGGCCACAGGGGACACTCCTCGGGTACACTCTGGGTGAAAGCCACTCGCCGCACGGCGACCTAGGTAACCGTATTCCTGAGAGGATCATGTAAAGGGTCTGATCATTGCCGCTAGTCATTGGGATGCCAAAATTCAGAATCCATAAAGCATCGAAGCGGCGACGAGGCGAAGTGACGACGATCGCATCTGCAGAATGGTGAACCGCTGCAATGGCTGGCAATTTTGTTGTTGTTAAAGCGGGGCCCAGTGGGAAGTGAAAGTCATCACTGAAGCAGGTACGTCGTCGTGATATCCTTGGATCGTGTGAGGAGCTTCGTTGCTGGATGGAGCCTCATACGTCCTCAATGGGTTCCCTGTGACTCCGACTCCAAGGGCTTCACGCACACTTATGGAAATGCGTACTGATGTGAATGCAGTGCCACACGCCAGCCTAAGTAAACTGCCTAAGGTTCCAGGTAGAAAGCTAAAGAAACACGAAAACGAGCGGCGGCGACGGGGTGACGACGGGTCGTGCAGGTCTGCGGAGCTCAGAGGCCAAAGATCGAAGGAAAATCACCGCTGCGTTAGCCGCTTACTGCGCAACAAAGAATGAGACAGCTTTGCGCTTACGTAGGTTCTTCTCAAAGCAGGTACGCTCCAGCGTCCCGGAGCTATATCGCAGACCAGTGCAAGTGTCTTTGTTAGCGCCAGACTTGCACGGTCCCTGGCGCCCCCTGCTGTCAACAGAAGTAAAAAACAAAAAAGCAAGCAGTGCGTTCCAAAAGGATCCCTGTGATTTTAAGGGACGCACACACACACACACGCCCCCCGAGGGGGGGCCGAAATTGCGAAGGTCAGGACGCATGTGCATGCGTTCGCGCGCGCGCGCGCGAAAGACAAAAGAATGAAGACATGACAAGAGGACGGGGCGGGGCAAAAGTGTAAGTGGTTGCGATGAAAGGGGAACCAAGCGCACAGGGAGAAACCCACCTCATTATAAAGACCTGGGCCACCTAAAACCTGAGTTTAGAGTACGTGTAGTGTAGTTGTGCACGTACACGCTAAGGCCGGGACCGATGTGCGCAAACGAAAGGAAGGATGAGATGAAAGACATGAAGACAGTTGGACATGAAAGAAAAGAGGAGAAAGGATGTGTGTGAAGGGGAAAAGGATGAAAGGGGAAACCAAATGAAGGGGACAGAAACCAACAAAACCAAACTTCATTAAAACGCCTAGGTAGACCTTGCCTCGTTAATGTGTGTACGCTGTGTGTGCACCCAAGCATCCGACAGGTTCCAACGAACCTCCAAAAAGCTTTGGTCGCTCTGACCATGTTGAGGCGTTAAGCCAGCTTGGACCGCTGCGGTCACGTGAAGGCATGAGCCACAATAATCCGACAGGTCTTGGCAAATAATTTTGGCCTAAGCCTACTTCGCCCGCTCTGGGCACGTACATCTCGGGGCATGGGAGATAAAGACTAACGCCCGTTCGACGGGTCCACAGGGGCCACTCTGCGGGGTCACCCTGGGCTGGCATGAAGCCAGACACACTTATGGAAATGCATACTGATGTGAATGCGGCGCCACACGCCAGCCTAAGTAAACTGCCTCTAAGGTTCCAGGTAGAAAGTTAAAGTCTGAGGCCTCCAAAACCTATAAACACGAAAGCGAGCGGCGGCGACAGGGTGACGACGGGTCGTGCAGGTCTGCGGAGCTCAGAGGCCAAAGATCGAAGGAAAATCACCGCTGAATTAGCCGCTTACTGCGCAACAAAGAATGAGACAGCTTTGCGCTTACGTAGGTTCTTCTCAAAGCAGGTACGTAGCTCCAGCGTCCCGGAGCTATATCACAGACCAGTGCAAGTGTCTTTGTTAGTGCCGGACTTGCACGGTCCCTGGCGCCCCCTGCTGTCAACAGAAGTAAAAAAACAAAAAAGCAGGCAGTGCGCTCCAAAAGGATCCTTGTGATTTCAAGGGTCATGCACACACCCAATCAGTCATGCCACAACCGGTTCGAGAGCGACTCGATTCCTATGTTGTCGGCTCCTTCAATCCCACTTCGGTTCACGGTTCGACTTGAGCGGCTTGTTTCGTTGGCGACTCCGCGGTAGTTCGGTTCCTTGCTGGTAGGGTTTCCGATTCCTGATTGGATTCGGAACGTTCCTGGAGATAGAGAGATAGAGACGCAGAGAGAAATTATAAGTAGCACTGGATAGATGGATGTGGGTGTGTGGAATGTAGATAGGTCAATGGACGGCTAGGTGGAGGAATGGGTGGGTGGATGGATGGATAGAAAGGAAGGGAGTATCATAGAGATAGCGAGATAGAGAGAGAAACTGAAGAATAGAGTTGAGTTTGTTGGCAGTTTCAGGCTGAGGAGTAGGCAGGGAGAGGACGGATCTGATGAGCTGTGGTCAAGACCTGGAACCCAAAAGTTGGAGCATGTCTGAGTCTGAAACTCTATTCTCTTCCTGTTCGGTTGGCAACCCGGGTCCCATCCACACTCATATTGCGCGTGTACTCCATCCCCACCAATCTTGGAGTAGCCATAGCGGGACCCTGCGTGCGACTCTATACATGCGATAGTACGTAACCTCCAACATGTTTTGGATGTTCCCTCGAGTGTCAACCCATGTCAAAAAGAATTCTGAGTAGAATTGGTTTTCTCACCATGTCTCCACTCGGCTGAGAAAGCCTTTGAAGGCTGTAAGCAAAATTGATCCAAGTGAGAAGAGGCGAGGCGAGGTGAAAGCACTCATGTCGGGACCCCCGAACCAAGCACAAGATTGGAAACTGTCGACACTTTGAAGAGAGGTGGCGTAGCCGGACCCTGCGAGGAATGTCCATGTCTGTGCATGGACCTCCTGATGCACCCATGGATTACAATGGTCCGCTCCGTGCCCTTCAAGGTCGCTTGCTCAGCCTTCAGCGAACAGATCCGTTCCTCAAATACTGATCTCATCGGATGGGTTCATCCTTTGGTTTTGAAAGACAGTAAGCGTTTCACTGCATCCAGCTGCCAGGAACGTGCCCGGGTCCAAAGAACTGCTTGTGGTCCTTGTGGTCAGCTTGGAGCGAGTGCAGTTGCACGTGCCTTGACAGCGTGCTGATTGCAGCGGCTGCTTCCAAGCTAGCCGCTAGCAGGGTGTAACTAGTTCAACGGGTGAACTTACCGTCAACCAAATCAGGTCCAACTGAGGCTCCAGGTTTTCAACGAAGCCCCATTTGCTTCTGGACTGCCGGACAGTGGCCAGTCTTGTTTCTAGTTCACCAGGTTCACACCAGGCTCCCCACCGGCCACACAGTTCTTCGACCTGCAGTCTTTGATGTCACCGTTGCAGACAGGTGCGATGGTGGGCAGAAGACCCGAGACCGACACATCGCGCAGATGCCAACGCCTGGAGGCAACGACCCCCACGACCCCCACGACCCTCACGACTCGTGTCGGAGCGAATCGGTCTCCGTCGACTCGAGTCTGGAAGAGGGAAGAGGGGAGAGCGAATCGAACGGAAAATGGGGAGACAGTTGTCGGATGGCGACACAGGTTGTTGCTGGAGATGTTGGAGTGACATGGTGACAGATGATGTGTTTGGGAGATTTGCTGAGCTTCCTGTGCCACTCTCCAGGAAAGCCTTGTGAACCTTTGCACAAGGAGGAAATTGTCCCCTGCAACACGCGACTTGACAAGATTTTGGAGTCTTTCTTTTCTTGGATGTTTTCGTCACCATGCACACATTGTGCAACTCTGGTTACTATGTGCTTTTTGTGATCATTTCAGTCTGTGACAAGTGGATTTCCACCTGCCAACTCTGCACCGCTCACGCTGTGAAGATCTAGCTGGATGACCAAGTGGGCTACAGGTATCATTTTGCTGTCTTGCACAGGGCTGTATGCACTTGTGGTTTTGGGTCAAGGTTCGCAGTCTACGAGTTTTTTCCTATTCTACCTTCTGCCCACAAGCCTCCAACCTAATAGCTTCTTGCTACTGCCAGGAGCTACTAAAAGCTTCTTGTTACTAGAAGAGTTTTATCCTATTCTACCTTCTGCCCACAACAATCTCTATTTGCGTATGGTTCGTTGTACAATCGTGCTTGGCTGTGCATGCGTCACGAGGGTCACAGTCACTTGTCGGTCGAGTCAAGACCTGATATCCTGACCATTGGCCAACTTGAGGCTCCGATTCACAGCTGGTTTTTTTGTTGTCCTGACAGAGAGAGAGAGAGAGACCTGAACCTTAAAGACGCATATTTGGTATTCTTATTTCCAATTCAGCTGTTGTCTAGCAATCAAATTATCCGTCCCCCTCTCTATCAAACGCATTGGCCACGTCGGTCCCTCAAACCAGAAAACCTTGAGGGAGTCCTGCTCCCGTGGCGCCTGCATCGATGCTGTGTGGAAAGACTGGAGCTCTTGGGAGGCGAAGAGAACACGTCCGCTTTTCATGCAAAATGCGCTTGGCTTGTGCGGCTCCCAACTCCGAATGGTTTGTGCAGTGAACTGTTCTTTCTGTTTTGGGTTGTTCCTGAAAAGGGGGTGGTTCTGGGTGAAAAGAGCAAAGGTTTTGGGATTTGGGATTTTGTGGACCTCTGGCCAAATCCATTGTTGCCCCTTAAGCAGACGCGGCTTGCTGATCGCAGGCTTGTTCGAAGACCTGCGATGGTGGCATCACCTGGCGACACCGAACCTTGCGGCAGAAGGCCAACGAATGCGGCCGTCCTGCCACAGGCGCCCTTGCACCGAAGGTGACGTTAGGACCCGGAACGCGGCGCTTGGATGCGCGAAGCCTTAACAGGAAATTGGTGCGAAGAGCAGACTTGACATTCAGCAAGAAGGCAGTACTTGGCGCAGGTATGGCCATGGAGCATGCTGCGTGCAACCGTGGCATTCCCTGCGAGAAAGATGTGGACTGCGCGCCTTGGAGCGACGTCCCCTCAAAGTACGGTGAAACCTCGGGGTTGATGACCAGACGTTTATGGCTTAAGTTTCCCAAACAATCTAGAAACCAAATCATTAGTGCGTGAGCTATCCTGCATCCTGTCGGTAGTAGCTACTTGTTAGCTACTAGCTACCTCTTCTACTAGCTACCTAGCTACTACCTACCTCTTAGCGGCCTACCGGCCTACCCCGCCCGGCCTAAGACATTTAAACGCACATATTCAATCATATTTACACATTTAGCTTCACAGCCCTCAAGCAACAAAAGTCACCGTTGGAGTCCTCTCCAATGTTCAACCAATGTAAAATACCCTGGATTGTCCACAATCAACCAATGTCCAAAAGAACGTGTTCCGGTTGCCCTGTCCACAGGGCCCAAACAAGCCAATCCCGCAGGCGTAGCCCCTTTTCACCTTACCATGGCTCGAGCGCGTTCTCACTGCGCCCACCCCTGTGCTTGGGCACGCAAAGATTCCGGATGGAATCATGGCACACGAGTCAACATGCGACCTGGTTGCTCTTTCGACCAATATTTATTTTTTGGTCCAGCATGTTGACGGCTCGGTCTTTCCAAGGTGCATTTGCTTTTTCCAGAAGTCAAAAGCGCGCATTGTTTGGCTCTATCGGCGAACAAACTTGAATTTTGGGCACGGTGGAACGAGCTTTTGAGATCGTCTTTCACAAGTCCTACTAGAAAATAATCCCATTTCATAGAATTTGTGCAGACAAAGTATTACATCCAGGACTATGAAGATTTTCTTTTCGAAAACTTGTGGTACACTCTGTCGTTGAGTGTCCCTCTCAAGAAGTATCTGCGAGTTCTCCCTGGCATGTTGATCTTCTCCTTCCGAATCAGGACGGCTTGGCTTTTCCTTCATCGGAATCATGAGCATTCGATCTCAGCCACTTTTTTCTGGTTCTGCTATCAGCACGGGCTTTTAACAGTTCCTCTTCGTCTTGAAGTTTGTATAGACCCATACTGAGGATCTCTCTGAGGACTGTGTTACCCATGATCTTGGTCAACGAGTCTGCTATTTGAGCGCCCGATGGTACCCATCAGATTTTGATGCCTGTTTCAAGGTGCTCCTTTATCAGTTGGCTTGTAGCAACGTTCAGAATTCGGAATATGAGGGGGATGCTGTTCGATTTACAAGATCGAAAAGGCTTTTACAATCTGTTGCTAGGTGTGATTCCTTTGGTCGTATCTTTTCAATCAAGTCTTTGGTTTGACACATTGATTCATTGGGATCATGTAGGGTGTCATCACGAACAATGGAGAACGCTTTTGGCAGTCGGCAAAGCGTCTTGTCTCCAAGTCTCCATTCACAGTTGGAGTCAGTGATCCAGGCCCAGAATAAGCGAACCCATTCTAAGGTGTCGATAGCGCCTGCAAGAGACATTGCTTCTGCGGACAAGGTACTCACGGCAACCTTTTGGATTTTTCTGGATGCCCGCGCAATAGGGTTCACCTTTGATGTTTTATTTGTTTCGAGGTCTTTATGGCACGCCGTTATCATGAGTCCTTGATGTGAACTTGTGTTCTTGGCTGAGGCGAACGATGCATCTGAAAAAGAAAGGAAGCGAATTTCCTCAGAGGAATTCACTTTCACTTCCGAGAACTGCTTTGCTTCATGGAGTCCCCTGTTGGCTTCAAGCAAGTCGGCCACCGTCCCACAGTTGATTCGGGACTGGAGCATTCCGAGACGGCTGTGTAAGTCCGGCCTTGTGTTGACTGCTGCATACAACAAGCTTTCAATAGCAGCTCTTAAGCTTTGGCGTTCACCCTCGGTGATGAGTTCCTGAGGTTGTTTCCGTCTAGAAGCCCCTTGCTTTCGCACGCTCTTGAAACCTTTTTCTGGCCTCTTGGTACAAGGTGCAGAACGTGGAGAGTTCGGCATCTTTTTTAACAACATCTTGGATGGCCTGTTCAAACTGAACAATCATCCAATGATTCTTCAACGAAAGCCCAACTCTCGTCCTCCTCGCCTTCATCCTCCACCGTGAAAGCAAGGTTGTCATAGGTCTTCAAACCTTTGTCTTTCTTGCCGGTGGTCACTTCTTGAAACCAACATGCGATCTGCAGCTTGAACTTTCTGCATGGTCAAGCTTCCTCCACGTTCGGCTCCTGCCTCCACCAGCAATCGTTTCTTACTTCAGCTAGTGACACTTTCTTCATATGAACTTCTGTCCATGTCACGTCAGCTCTGGCGAGAAAAGAATCTGAGGTCTCGTCCTGGCGTTGATTGCGCTTGTACAACGCGCGCTCCACGATCTCATACTTTCTTCTCCAGGTCAATTTGTCCAAGCTGGCCAGCCACTATCTCAATGATCTTCTCGATGCCGTCCTTGTCACCAGTGAACACTTCGCTTTGGTTCCAATTTCTGGAAAGCTGAGCCTTCGGTGTTGAGCACAATCCTCGTCGCAAGCTCTTTCAGTCGGCTTTCCGGCCATGATTGAAGCAGCAAACGGATCTTCTGCGCCCAGAGTCATAGCTTGGAACCAGCTGTGCAAGCTGGGAGGTCAACGACGTCCCTCCGGAGGCTGTTGCGCCTTGCGTTGTATCCAAGTCGAACCGGGCTCCGCTACCAATCTCAAAAGACTGGTAGCTTCACAGCCCTGCTGTGTCCTCAAGCAACAAAAGTCACCCTTGGGGTCCTCTCCAATGTTCAACCAATGTAAAATACCCTGGATTGTCCACAATCAACCAAAGTCCAAAAGAATGTGTTCCGGTTGCCCGTGCCCACCCCTGTGCTTGGGCACGCAAAGATTCCGGATGGAATCATGGCACGCGAGTCAACATGCGACCTGGTTGCTCTTTCCACCACATATATATATATGGACAAGTAGTCAACCTTTTGGCCTAAAAAACCTCGGCTTTGCCTTGACCTGTCCAGCTTTGCCCTCCTTCGGCCCGCCCAGTTGTTCGGCCAGTGGCAAGAGTGGAGTGGCTGCACCGAACCCTGCCTGGGCATCAAGCGCCGAACGCGGGTCATTGCAGTGAATGGCCGGGAGACTGGGATGCAATGCAGATCATGACCTGAGGTGGTTATATAGCGAGTTGGTTAGCTGATTGCCAGTTCGTGCTTGCCAATCTTATCATTTCTTATCATCCCTTGATGGGTTGGTTGTTTGGTTTTGCCGTTGGATTGTGCTGGACACATGTTTTGCAAATCGATGCTCTCTGCTCAGGAGAACGGCAAGTGGTGTGTGGGCCCGTTGAAGCAGACTGCGCCATGCCCGAGCGGACCGGATTGTTTTGGAGGTCCTCCAGTGGACTGCGAGGTGCGGAGGGGGGGGGGACGCCACCATCCAGTGAGGTGGATATCGATATTCATCCAGTTTTGGCAGCGGAAGACGAATAGGAAGTTGAATATCGATGAATCATTTCACAACTCCAGACCTTCCTTGACCTTCCTGACTTGCCTGAGAATCACAAAGGTGAGCAACTGGGATGAATGGGATGTGTGCTCAACGACGTGCGGCCCGGGACAGAAGATCCGATCAAGGACAGGTGACAATCAGCATCAGCATTCGATCGTTTTGGAACTTTAATGAACTAAGATCAGATTCAATCACCTGCAGCAAAGGAGAATCCTTCAACGGCCAGAAAATGGGGGCAAGTTCTGCGACGGTGAATTGACTGTGACAGAGGCGACTCTGAAAGCTTAAGAGAAGGAATTTCAATATTTTGAGTGAGAAAGGAACGTTCTCAAACAACCATGATGAATGGCCTGCCAGTTTCAGGGTTTGGAAGAGGATTTCTCTGTTGTACCAGTTTCTATGTTGGTTCTTGGGAGAGTAGACCTTTTAGCGTTGCAATGATGAGTCTTCGGGTCCTGGAGTTTTGACTTGCTCTCACCTGCCAGTCCTGCAACAATGCTCCATGCCATACCTGCACGTGTCCTGGCTGCAAAGAGCAGTCTAGCTGTCCGGGTGGCATTCCTTGGCAGCGTCACAGCTGACCATGCGCCTGAGGCCCACTGACTGCATGTGGGGTCAATGGGAGATGTGGGGAGCTTGCGACAAGTGCGGTGGCCAGAGGAAGCGCTTCCGAAGAGTGCTTTGGCAAGAACAAGATGAACAAGGTTTGGAATCTGAACGTCTTTTGGTCGTGCACACACATACTGCACACACACATATACATATATATATATATATGCACACAGGTTATGTACATCGCATATTATTGATCTATGATGACGTAACAAGTTTTCCACTACCCTCACAAATACTTTTCACGGTGGAGGCATGTGGCCAGACCGCTGGAGAGTTGTCGGAGACGCCCTAACCAACCGCAGGAGGAAATAGACCAAACCGACTAAGCCCCACGCTGGTTGGGTTCTCCCAATTTCGACGCGAGATCTGAGGTCACCGTCCAAGCAGACTGCGGAGGTCGCATCTGCGAGAGGGACTTCGCCGAGGAGATGGGGAACTGCACAAGGATCTGCCATACACCCACCTACTGCACCTCAGATTGCACGGAAGATGGGGCACAGTCGTTTTGGCAGGGGTCTGGGCAGGCTAAAATCGTGGTGCTTTGGCGATTGCAGGCCACAATAGGTACACCAAGAGGAAGACTGCCTTGAAACTAGATAGCGTTTGAAACACATTCGCAAAGTCGGAAAGTTCCATGGTAGAGAAGTTTCTCATTTTCTTGCCTGCGTGCCTGTCAGTTTTGGTTTGCGCTTAGCAGGAGTCCCAAGGACACTGCGTTTACGAAAGAGTACAACCCTGAGGTACATGGTGAATTGCTTCACAGACCCGTTGGCCTTGAGGCCTCTATGGTTTTAGGGTCCTTCCGATAGGGTCCATCTTCTTCCATCATTTCCCTTTTCCAATTTCCTTGGGGGGCCATGCCATCGCAAAAGAAACGCCGCTAGGCGAGTGGGCCAACTGGCGAAGTTGGGGCGACTGCACGGTCTCTTGTGGCAACAATGGTGTGCGCACACGCGTGCGATTCCTTGAGGCACACGGCGTGCGATTTTCTTTTTATCCAGAGGCCCTTCCTCCCTACTTAATTAAGTAGGCGCCTACTTAATTAAGCAAGGGAGTAAGCTCCTAGCTACTTAAGCTACTACCGGATAGCTCACGCTTCTTCAAGGGGGGGAGCTTCAGGGCGGGGGAGTTCTTTGAAGAAGCGCTCGCACAAATGAATTGGTTCCTTGGTTTTTAGCGAAACTTAACTTTTTCTTTGTGTTGGAGTCAGGACCAAAATTCATTCACTGAGTTAATGTCTTTATACTTCTTTATATTTGACGGCTTAAGCTGGGTGGCACCAAATCAAGGTTGTGGGATGATATGTTGATGTCTATGTGACATGCACAGTACGTGAGTTTTAGGATGTTTTAGGGATGGAGGGGACCATTGTCCACTTGCTCTTCAGTGAAGCCCTACCTCGACAATCCTCCTTGTATCAGATTGGTAGGCCCGTGGACCTGTCGCTCTGTACCATTCAACGCCCGTCCTTCTGGTAGGCCCATTCAACGCCGACACCAGGCATTGGAAAGAGAGCCGTGAGATTCTGGTTTCATTGTTACTTCTTCTTCTTCGCAGTTGGGTGGTGTTAGCAAAAAGCTTTGCAAAACGCACAAATAATCACACACGAGAAAAACATGCATATGATAGGAATGCCACACGCCACACGCCAACCCAAGTGAAGAAACATACGTAAGTAAAACGTGTAGTATGTAAGGCGGGTCAACCATCTCGGAAGGCTTCAATGTCAAGGTTCTGAAGGCCAAAGGTTCCAAACGGTGTTCGAAGGCATAGAAGTCGAAGAACAAACGACGGCACCTGCAAAGTCTGCAGACCTGTCTCCACCTAACCAGCCTGTCGTCTAGAGGAGGACGTGGTTACAAACGTCACACTTGGGTTTTAAAGGCAGGTACATCCACAGGACGTCTCCCATCGATCTCGCAAGCAAGAGATAGGTGTCTTCGCTGGCACCTGCCCTGTCTCTGCTTGACCCGTGCTTAAAGAAAATGAAAGGTAAAGTAACAACCCTCAGTGTTCACACACACACACACAACACACACACACACACTTCGATAATGGGTTTGCAGTTAACTCAATTCCCAGGTCGAAAAAAGGTGATGGAACGGAAAGGCGCAAGACCAGCTCAATTAGAATGTTGAACAAAGTTCACGCGTGACTGCAGCTGTACAACAGTGGAAAGCGGCTGAGGGAAACCTGTTTGGGGGTCTATCGTGAGAAACACCATGGCAGCAAACCAAAAGAGTGGACAGCTTAATCAACAGTTTCTCTGCAGGTACACGGTCAGACGTCTCTGACCGCATCCACCGAACAAGCATAGCTTTGTTAGCCAGCGTTTGCTTGTCGGCTGCTGGCCCCCTGCCTGTGGAAACTCTTAGAAACAGAGTGTGACACACACACAACTCACACACACACAGGCACACAGGCACACAGGCACACAGGCACACAGGCACACAGGCACACACGCGCACACGCGCACACAGGCACACACGCCCCCACACGCGCACACACGCCCACACTCGCCCAAACACGCCCACACACGCCCACACATGCCCACACGCGCGCGCACGCGCACACACACACATATACACACACACACACACCCACAGACCCACACACCCACACACACACACACCGCGACACGCACACGCACACGCGCACACACACACACACACACACGCATGCACAAGCTGGGCGGCATGTCACGCGGCAAGGCCGCTTGTCGCCAGGAATCCCGATTGCCACCACCGGCATTGAAGTGCCCTATGATCCCAGAGACTACGATGATGGTTCCAGCTCAGGCGAAGGGTGGGAAACTTCAGGACTCATATATAGTTGCAGCTGCCCTAGATGCCAGCTGGCTGCATGCCAACAGGCAGCGTGCCATCCCAATGTTTCTCCAGGTTGTTTGTCTCTATTATTGACTCCTATCTACAGTAGTCATACCCCCCAGTGCTTGTTCTCCTTCTGTCGATTTTCCGCCTTTCCTTGATGTTCCATCATGAGGTGGATTTTGGGTCTAGTTTAGTCGTTTGCTGGCCAGGATCTTCATCTTCATCCTCTACTATCTCGGGAGGACGCATAGGGCTAGTGACAACTCTGTAGCGAGGAATGATCCGGATGATGATCGCTTGAGCCAAGTGGGGGTTTCAATTTCTATGGCGCTAGCCAACTGCCAAGTTGGATTCAGGAGAAACCGGTGCCATTGATTCCTATGGTGGCGGAGGCACGACTTGTCACGGTGCACAAAGCCTTGTTAACACCAGCAAAACTGCAGCCCAGCTTCGTGAGATGTAGGTCATTTTGTCTTTGAACGGTACGGAACTACAATCTGCCCCCGTGAATGCGACAAAGGTATTCTCCAGTGGGGTTGAGGTCCTCGGCTGGGATCAGAGAAACATACTTTTCTGTGACAGTGATGCCTTAAATGCGGTTGTGACCCCTAAAATAAGTACTATTGTTTTTTGTTATATGGTTATATAATTTTCTTTTATCAATCTCCCACTACAGCAGCGTTCGGCAATTTTCTGTTAGTACCCCATGATGGCAACTGGCTAGTTGTTTGCTGGCCAGGATCTTCATCTTCATCCTCTACTATTTTGGGAGGACGCTCATTAGATTGTTCTTGTCTGAGGCTGGTGACAACTCTGCAGTGAGGAGAGATCCGTATGATGATCGCTCGATAGGCTTAGCTTTTGATCATGGAAACTACCGTTGGCTATCTGAGTTTGTTCTTGCTTTAGCAAGCCAGGAGGCCCAGGAACTCCCGATATTCATAAGATAACGTTAAACTGGCCGTTGTGGTCAAGCATCGTTAAGTAAAATAACATTACAGTGATGTGCTGGGCTAGCTGTCGGATGCCACAAAGCAACACACTCCACTTTGCTGTCCACGCCGCCAACGCAGCGGGAGTCAACCAATTACCAACGTATGAGTGAGGAGAAACCGGTGCTACTAATCCCTATGGTGACGGAGGCGCGACTTGTGTGTGTGTGGGCGTGCGCGCATGCACAGTATCAGGAATACATTTCTGATCATATTGCAGAATCGTATTTTTAGGACATTGACTTTGGTGAGCTTGATTGTGACGGGGACACTTGTGAAGTAGCGGCTACTCATTAAAGACACCAAGATAAACGCTTTCGCTAGAATGCGCAAAAGTCGAGGAAGGACCAGCGATTTTGCCGTTTTGCACTGCGACACAGCAATCATGGAGAGGCAAGACAATCGCACAGAGGATTCCATGGTTCACTCTTTTTCAGAGATGGTTCACATTGGGTATGTGCCGAAAGACAATTGCCCAACACTCACAAGTTTGCACCCAAGATAGCGCCAAGTGTTCCAGTCAATCTTGCCCCCCCCAAGTGTCAATTCTCAATCAGCCAAGGCGACTTTTGTATCTAATAACTAAGTATGAAGTGATGTTTCCAGGAATGTCGGCTTCACATACCTCTCAGTCCTACAACAGCGGAAGCTCAGGAGACACTGACTTGCTTTCTGTTTTTCCACATTTGTATTTTGTTTGTTTGTTCGAGCTCATTGATTTTCGTTGATGTATGAGCATGATGGTGACAAAAGCAGTTGCGGGGTATTTTCACTTACAGTATGTGTCAGTTTGAGACATTGAGTGATCATGTTTGTTGTATTCCGGCAGGAATGAGCGGAGGCTCAGGAGGGGCGCATTTGATTTGTTCAAGTTTGGTGTTTCCTGGTGGTGTCGATTTTGCAATTCTTGTACTCATTGTTTTGGCGAGGTTGATTTATTTGACTTCGCTACATTGCACTCATGTTGACATAGGTCAGGTTGCGATATGTTGTGTACTAAAAGTCGTTTGCGCATGAGACATGGCATGGTTGTGTCCTCTGAATTGGGGGAGTGTTGGTTCATTTTCTGTGAAGGGGGATTGAATGAGGAAATGCTGTTGCCAGGAATGTCGGTGTCACATACCTCTCAGTCCTACAACAGCGGAAGC